TCTTCAAACATATATTTTATTCAAAAATAAAAACATCATCGCTTTCTCAAAATCACATAAAGCCATATTATAACATCGACTGAGATAAAGAATAAAATAAAATATTAAAATCATGATGTATCTCGCTGCATTGCGCGAGTACGCTTCTAGTATATATATATATATATATATATATATATATATATATAAAAGATTTAAGATGAGAAATATGAGAATAAAAATTGAAGATTAAAATATAAATGTAATTTTTTATTGAAAGAATAAGAATTTTATGGAGTATAAGCATCTCCATATTTTTTTTTCAAGGTAGATAATTAAAAATCAAAATCTTAAAAAAGAATTACATTCAACTCTAACATTTATATTATTTTAGCAATTCAATATTAATTATATTATTAAAATATTTTAGAAAAAGTTATATAAAACCTAACAAAATTTCATATTTTGAATGATTAAGTTCATGAATTATTTTCTGAATAAAAAATCTGTTGAACTTCTTAATTTTGAATAATTAAGTCCCTCAATATTTTGTTTGAATAAACAAACCATCAAACTTTTAAAAATTGGTTACCTACATCATTTAAACCCAAAAACATTACATGTAACCGGTTAGGAAGACTTTAGAGTTATATATATATATATATATATATATATATATATATATATAGAGAGAGAGAGAGAGAGAGAGAGAGAAAGTTTATTTCAAATGCAACTCATCACATTTGTACAAACAATGCAACCCAATAAATTGAGATGTTTATGGAAATAATGAAAGTTTATTTATTATGATTTGAATATTTATGGAAGATGAATAGAGTTCATTAATTGTGATCAATACTTTATATTAGAAAACAATCAAAACTTCTATGAAATCACATWTTCATCAAATTAAATGGACGGTTGAGATTGAGTTGTATTGGTTGTACAAATATAATGTGTTGTATAATAACCAATCTCTCTCTCTCTCTCTCTCTCTCTCTCTCTATATATATATATATATATATATATCGGTTTATTGTTCCTAAACCTTACACCATTCAAACCTCTTGCACACAACGGCATCATACTGCACATTGTCGTTGTTGGTCCCTGCTATCGATCTCCCTTTTTTTGATCTATTTTTTGTCTTTAAATTCTCGCTCTTTTAGAACAATTTAATGGAACATGTATAGACATGCAAAAAAGATGGAGAATCGAAAAAGAAAAACATAAGATATGAAAGTGGGAGATCGATGGCAGGGCTAACGGCGGTGATGGATGGTGATAGGGAACGGAAAGACGATAACGCGACGAGTAAGTAACCAACTTTTAAAAGTTCGATAGTGGAAATAATTAAAATAATATATATATCTTCTCAATATTAAAAATTTACAGGTTTCTATCTCTTTTCTGTATTTTAGCATTCACTTTGTCATATATCTGTTATAGCAAAAAGAATTTCAAAATCTCCAAAATTTCTACTTCAATATAACTGTTAGAGATGCTCAAATGTAAGCTTTTAAAAAGTTGTATGTATCTAATAATAAATCGTAAACTTCAATTTTAAAAGATTATTATCGCAATATTTAATATTTGAAATAAGTTTCTAAATTATTTTATCAAATACTTTATAATACAGTCTAGATATTGATTCTTTATCGATCGTCTGAGTGCGTTTGATAGACCAAAAAAAGGCGGTCTGGTCTGACTTGTTTAGGCGGTTTGAACCTCTTATGAGCTTTAAACTTAAAAATATAACTTTTTTATCCATAATTAAATTTCTTCCAATATAACATTATTAAAAAAAATTCTGAAATTAAAAAAAAAACATTGATCAAATTCAAAAAAGTAAAACAAATCCACCAACAATAGTTGGAGTTTTGGATGAACATTTAGCAGTTAAATGAAGATTTGGAATTTTGATTTTTAATAAATTTCAGAAATTTGTCAATTTAGATAATGCGGTTGACTGAGACATGAAAATTAAAAACATAATTTATTTACAAACTTTCTTTAATTGACCCATAAAAGTTACGCGAACAACATGAAACCAAAAATAATTAATATATTTATATTTTTGGTGGTTGATTCGGTCTAGACCGCTTAAAAAAATGTTCAAATTGCGAACATACCAGACCGAGTGATTTTTTGACTATTTTTCAAACCACACTGGACAGCTAGGCCGCTCAAATAATAATAAAAAAAACGATTCGGTTTGACTTAATTCAACCGGTTTGAGCAGTCCAAAGGTTTTTTAAACACCCCTATTTTTTTTACTTCCGGAATGCTTTATATATTGAATCTGCCATTATTGAATGTTTATATACATATACTCTATAATTATAATAGACTAGAAGGGTACTCGCACAATGCAGCGAGATAAATCTCGATTTTAATGTTTAATTTTTATTCTGTCTCTCGATAATACGATTTTATGTGGTTTTAAGAAAAAAATATTTAAATGAAATATAAACTTGAATATAACATAAAATTTTTAAAAAAATCGATATTAGTATCAAATTAACTATTTAATAGTTCTCATTTTTTTGGTGTAACTTCTTTAATTCAATTTTTTATTATAATTTAATTTAGATTTAATAACAAGGTAATTTATTTTTGGTTTAACAATATAATTTTTTATAAAGATAATAATTAATATTCTGTTAGAAGTCAATGATTATCTTAATTATATTTTAGATTTTCTATATTTAAAATGAATGTATATCATGTATTTGATTATGTTTATCTGCAGTTAGTTACACGAATTTAAAGATTGAGCTTTAATAAGTTGTACTTACGCAAAATTACTTGTAATATTGAATTTTAAGTAATATGTATCAATAAATAGTACTTCATGCATAAAAAATGGTTTTCAAGAGTTTTTGTCAAATATTTTATAATATAATATAGATAATATATTCTATCACTATCATACATTGAATGCTTTTAGTATCGGAATAACATGAACGTTGCAACAAATCATATATCATGCATTGTACTTTATAGATTTACACTGATATATATCATGTTCAATGAATCTATTTTTTTTATATTAATCCAATGAATACGATACTAAAATTAGTTTGATAAAATGCTTCTTTTATCTGATCGAGATTCAAGTTCATTGAATCGTGAAACAGTCTTTAAATTTATGCATCTATAAAAATAATAAAATTTAATGGTTTTAACACTATTACATCAAAGAGGTTTCGATGTAATTAAAAGAATTAAGTGGTCGATCGTGGTCAGAGCCCATAGTGGTGTTGTAACTCCTGCGACCATCTTGACGAGATATCAATGAACCAATCATCGCCTTCGTCATGCGTGAATCCCCTCTCTATTTCTCCATCTCATGCAACCTTAAGACTATAGCAATTGAAGTTCAATGCAAGTATATAAATCAAAAAGTTGATTAACGTAATTTTAATCGGCCCCACACGGAACTCGCCTTCAATGACACCAATAAGATGACCCTGGAATCGAACCCAGAACCTGTTATGTATTTGGGCAAAGTCGCCCCACCCGCTTTACCAATATTGTCTCAAAAACAAATAATAATGGCAAGAATATTAGATATTGTCAACTCAGACAACAAGTAAGGTTTTAGCAAGTCAAATGTAAAAATCGATTTCAAATGGTGAATTTGATAAAACTGGATCTGAATGAGTAATTATAACACCCTTAAAATAAGGAAATAACAACTTACGAAAACTTGATATATAAATAACAACTGCAAGATTTTGCCCATTAAAAGAATAGTTGGTAGCGGAAGTCATATAGGTCCACAAAGTGGCCACTTGTGTTACCACAATGGCGGTGCAAGTGCACACCAAACATTAGGATCGATACAAGTAATAAAGTGGTAGTAATACCAAGATCGTATTCACAGGGATTAGACTTCATAGTTTCGAGTACTAAATCGAGAATATAGTGATTTCAATTACAGAAGAATAAAGTATATATGAGCGAGTTTGATGCTTTTAACAATTCAGTAAAAACAATTAATTTAAAGAAAATTGTATGGGTGTAACATTTCCCTACTAGCAGTATGGTCAAAGACATTTGCCACAAAAATGTCTATAAAAGTCCCTATCTCTTAAAAGTGAACTTCAACATAAAGTGACCACATGTCTCCACTAAGTCATCACTTTTGCCAACCAAAGACTTGTCGATCCAACTAAGTTGACTTCCAAGTTGTAATTCTACCAGTATGGGGACCAATGCTCAAATCTCTATCGCATGCAACAATTTATCCGGTAAACGCTTAACATGGTAAGAGTCGTTGCCCTCACTTACTGGGTAAGACTCTTGGTCCTTGTCTCGCTCTTACCAAGTAAGATTCTTGGTATTTAACGTATTCATCCGGTCAGGTAATGTGACTTAGTAAAAGTTTACCCGGGTAAGCGTTTGGTAAACGACCCCTTAGTTGGAGCTTTCTACATTGCTGGAGAGTTTTCTTCAAATGAGATCCCAAAGCCTCTATTTATAATGGAGGATGAAAAAGGTGGTCGAGGGTTTACCCACAAAGGTTTTCACTGAGTTCAAGTCTCCTTTGACTCAAAAGCTCCTTGTCTTCTGCTACCTTTTCATGAAAGCACAAACTTTGCTTTCTCTTCGTTAAGATTTAGATAGCCATTTTTTATGATAAATAAATAATCATTGCACCAATATATGGACTTTGCTTTTGTCTTTTTCTTCACCAACCTTGGTCTTTAGAGTTTGACCTTTAATAATGTCATAATTCAGCTGAAATAGACAAAAGAATACATGTAAGCGCTTAATAAATCACATTACTTTACCAGATGAATATGACAAGATCCAAGAATCTTATCCGGTAAGTGATGGCATTGACTCTTACCACGGTTAGCACTTACCGGGTAAATTATTACGTACGATGTTGTTTTGGGGGATAAGAATCTTACCCTGTAAGTAAGCGACAATATCGAATTTTACCGGTAAGCGCTTACCGGGTAAGTAATTAGGTAAACGGCCCCTTAATCATCTTATTGCCCACTCTTGGAGTGCTCATTGATAGAAATTCCGTTCCGTTATCCACCCATCTACATGGGTTAGTATACACAAATACAAGTATTCCTCATGCCAATAAACTCATAATAATTACACATAATCATCATAAGCATATAATCGCCAGTGAGGATGGAAACGAATAGAATATTGGGTGGATAATACATCCCCGACCCTGACCCATGTTTAAGCCCCCAAACCCCGCCATGATTAATCCTTGACGGGTTCAGGGGAAAGGAATCTCCATCGGGTATCCGTTTGGTTAAAAGAACAATAAAAACAATGTAATTTAAAATTAAGATTATAATGAATCTTCATTATATTAATTACCAACAATAGACATGAGAATTAAACCCGCCTCGGTGGGGATAAGGATTCCCTGCAAAACCGGAGACCGGGGATGGGGACAGGGATCCCTGAAGGTTAAAAACCGAGTTCGGGTAATGTGGTCCCCGCCCCTCCCCATTCCGTTCCCGAATATTAAATATATTATTTATAAAGAATTAGATTTAATATCTTTTAGATTTATAAACAGTATTTTGTCATTTTTTCTTATATAAATTTTTTATGAGTTGTTTTACTTTTTTTAGAAAAAAATACTGAAAGCCGAAAACGTTTGATCTAACAATTATGTATGACGTTGTGATTTGTTCACATATGAATATTTGATACTCTATAAAAAGTAAAATTTGAAAATATACGAGATTTAAACATGCACCTTTATCGATTGCGTACGCTAGATTAATAGTAAATTTTGTTCACTTGCTTGCTTTTAGTGCGGTGATGATCCCCATACCACCCTTTTTTCGATTCCCATATACATGAAACTTCTGCCCTCTTGGGGTTTGGATTTTGATTATCATCTGATGACACAAAATTTGTGCATGGATTTCAGATAGCCAGTCCATTCCAATAAACACATCGAACCCCCCTAAACACATAGGCACAAGCCTAACAGGCAATTCACTATTGTCTATAAAGATCATGCATCCATTAATTATTTCATCTACCTTAACCTGTCCACTGTTAGTAGTTTCTACAATGCAACTCTTCCTTATTCTACAGACATCCTTATTCAAATAGTGGCAGAAGGTAGAAGACAAGAAAATATCATTTGCACCCGAATCAAACAACACTTGGACATAAACATTGTTTACAAGAAACATACTCGATATGACGTTAGGAGACTCCCTAACCACCTCCAAAGTCATGTTTTACGCTCGCCCCAGTCCATTAGGTAGTTCCTTTTTCTTTCCCGACCCATTCCTCGGTCCGTTAGCCACAACCCTAACATTGCTTATTGCCCCCTTTTGGATCGTTGGAATTCACACCGTAAATGCCCTGATTCCTCACATTCATATCAAATTTTGTTTTCAGTACACTACCTAGATGTGTGCCTAAGTTTTCCGCATCGATAACATGTCACTTTTGCTACCCAACATTCGCCCCTGTCTCTTCGATTGCATTTGGTGCACGAACTAATAGTGAACTCCTCATTTTATGACCTTGCATGTGTTGTCACCCCCTTGGATCTATTTATCAGTTTATTTGGCCCTTCTTATATTAAAATGTAACATTAATTTTTTAATAATTACTAGAAGGGTACTCACATAATGCAGCGAGATAAATCTTCATTTTAATGTTTAATTTTTATTATTTGTCTCTATCAATGTAATATAATTTTATGTGATTTTGAGAAAACGATAATGTTTTTATTTTTGAATGAAATATAAATTTGAAGATAGCATAATTTAAAAAAAAAAATAGATATTAGCATTAAATTAACTATTTAATAGTTTTCGTTTTTTGGTGTAACTTGTTTAATTCAATTTTTTATTATAATTTAATTTAGGTATAATAACAAAGTAATTTATTTTTGGTTTGATATATAATTTTTATTAAAGATAATAATTAAACATTCGATTAGAAACTCGATAATTATCCTAATTTTTTAGATTTTTTATTTTTTAAAATGAGATATTTATCCTCTATTTAATTATGTTTATCCGTAGTTTGTTACACAAATTCAAACATTGAACTTTAATAAGTTATACTTAATGCATAATTTACTTGTAATGTTGAATTTTAAGTAATATGCATCAATATACAATATTTTGTACATAAAAAATGGTTTTAAAAAGTTTTTGTAAAATGCTTTATAACATAGTATAGATTTGCCCTAAATTTTACTCCAATATTATAGAATAAACTTTGAGAATAAAAATATTTGTGAGAATAATAAATATATACCGACTGGTTACACTCACATACCGTGAATTCCCCATAAGCGTGGTCCTTTCTTGTCGCCGTTATCCCTCATTCCGATCGAATTCCTTCTCACTCAGATACAGACTTTGAGACCCAAGAACCAGCGATCTAATGCTATAACAGGTCGGTTTGCTTTGTCTTTTTTCGTATTTCTATCCAATGATCTAGGGTTCTTTATTTGGGACTTTATATATATATATATATATATATATATATTCTCTTTTAACTGTATGAATTGCGTTCGCAGCTTTTTAATTGATATAGTATGATGATTAAAATCGAAGGATTGGATCTGAGGGGATTTTGAATTTCTGACATGTTTTTAATAGTTTTGGTGGGAATTTATGTTGTATCATTGCTAAAATCTTGTGTAGACCATACGCTAATCGCTCAACATTAACAGCTTTAGTCGTTGTTTTTGACTTTTTTGTGTGTGTTTGGTGACTCCTGGTATTCGAATCGTGGAAAAATTAGCGAATTTTGAACTAAACGAGCTTCATTTTAAATTCTGAACATTAAATAATGAATTTGCAAACGTCTAAGCACTGATGATAGCATATTGTGATTAATTTAAATGGGTTTTTTTCTAAGTTGTGAAGTAGTTGCTTGGTTCCTATTATTGGTTCACACATTAAAAAAAAAAAACAATCCTTTCATCCTAAACTGGTTATTGTTGGCTAAAACATTGAACCCATCATAAATTGATTATGAAGAAATCAAACAATCATAAGTCCCGATTATGAATAACATTACATTACACTCTTTTATTCCAAGCCAATTTCATACACACACATATGTGTGTGTGTGTATATTCCAAATTCTGCTTTCTCCCACATTGATCTTGCATTCCCCCATTTTGTAATGCCCTCCTCTGGACACAAGCTCGCCACTGGACCCATTTTTGGTCATAAATCGAAAGATATACATCGCAGATGACCATATCATCTCAAAGTGTTGTTTCTTCTGTTCTCTTGGAAGCGTCGTCAAAACCTTTCACTTAATTTTTGTATAAGTTGTCTTTTGGTCATCTTGTCCTAGAAAGCATAATCATAGTAGGCCTCACCATTGTTCCATAAGATTTGCCACTCAACCTTGGTGGGATTATACAGTCACATATGACTCCAGATTGTTCTGAATCATAGTTTGATTTCATGCAGTTAGTTTAGTGGTACTTTTTCTTTTCTATTTGTTTTTTTTGTTATGGTTCAATGGGCATAATAACCATTTTATTTATTTATTTTATTTATTAACCAATTTGCTATTTTTCTTCAAGAGTGTGTATCTTTTATCTGATTTGATGCCAAAATCTGCGCTTAATGCCCAAGATAAACTAGAGTTTCAAACTTTCAATAGCTGACTGTTTAAAACAATGGTTCCGTTCTAATTTTCCTAATTTATTATACTAAACCCATTCTAACTAACATGCTGCTACTCTATCCACCCAAGATATTATCATATGACTAAAATCCTCATCTATCTCTCTCTTTTGTGATGTTCATCATAACCTAGAGCAGATACCATGGGATTTCACTTGCCATTCATCAGCTCATTCTTAAGGATCATGATTAAAGCAAAGATATAGGGCCTAATGCCAACTCTTGGTGCAATGCTATTCTAATAGGCAAGACACTTTCAGTTGAAGGATGGTAGCATGTTTTATGCTAATTACGACCCCATCATCAATATTGTTGTCAATTGTCACATCAACATACCTTGTTGGGACTTTATACTTTTTAAAGGCCCACCCTGCTTTTTCTAGATCAATGAAAACCAATTAATTTTTTTTATCATGTCAGCATTTGGCTGGTTTAGTTGTAAGATTGAGGTGCCACTGTATTAACTCTTAGGCTCTGCAGATTTTTCTTATTTCATGTTGAGGGGAACACATTGCATATACTAATGGATGATCAATGGATCATGATGTAGGTATCTGCAATGAAGATGATATAACATAGGCTGAAAATTTTACAGAAGGCCATAAATTGGCCAGAAGCAACTTATTTGTGTTAAAAGGACTTTCATGATACTTCCTATTGTTAATGGAGGATTAAGACGAGAAGGTAGTTAGTATTCTGATCATTGATAGGGAATGCAGTTTCAAATTTATCCACGAAATAAAAGCTAACCCCAACTGCTTCCAGAGATGTATGTTAGATGTGAGATTTATCATAGTTTTCCCTGTGAAGTAGGGTACTTCAGTTTTATATTGTCGAAGTTATTACTCGTCTTATTTTAGTATATCCAGTAGATGCTGCAAATAGGGCTTCATTTTATTGTCTGGTCTATGCTACCTTCATCTTTTTAGTTGTTGAATATCTATGTGGGGCTTTTGACGGAATTAATCAAGAATGAATCTTCATAAATAAACTTTTTTCTTGTTGGGTAATGATTTTTAAGGTTTGGCTGCTGAAGTATCAAATAATTTCTCTTTATCTTCAGGTATATCAGTTGATGGCTCTGATAGTGGAAGCAATGCTTTAAAAGTTATGATATAGTTGCAACATATTGCTTGGTGAGAATATATACATTTATATGGCAGATGGTATGTCAAGCTTTTGGGGCCCGGTCACATCTTCACATGAATGGTGTGAGAAGAATTATGTATTTTCTTCCTACGTTGCGGAATTTTACAATACCATCTCAAACGTCCCATGCATTCTTTTGGCACTCATTGGCCTTCTAAGTTCATTGCTACAACGGTTTGAGAAGAGATTTAGTGTCCTACACTTGTCAAATATGGCACTTGCTATTGGAAGCATGATGTATCATGCGACACTACAACATGTGTAAGTAAACAATTTTCAACATGCATTTCTTGCCGTGTTGGTCTTCCTAAGCATTGTGGGTTCTGTGAGACCACAATATCTACAATGTTTTACAGTTCTTCTACATATAATATTCTCAAGTTTCTCATTGTGTTGATGGTTCTTTTTTCCGTATTTATGTTTTTTCTTCTTTTAAGTTAACGCTTTCTATTTCGCATTCAAGTTTCTGTTATCCTAAATGTTTTATTTTGGTGGCCTTATATAATGTTCTTTTAGTCAAAGTAAGCATCATTGTTGTCCCATATATTTTTCCTCCAACTCCAATGGAACTTTTCAATCAGATGAGACTCTAATCTTGTTGTCTCCCTTTATATTGTAATCTCCTTCCTCGTGAAGCTCTCCATACTAATCTAATGTTGATCACAATATAGGTTGTGCTGCCACTTGACCAACAAATTATTACTCCCTCCGTCCCAAAACAAGTGTCCACATTTCTATTTTAGTTTATCCTAAAATAAATGTCCACTTTCAAAAGTAAGTGCCTATTAAGGGTAAAAGTGGCATTTAGTTAATAAAAAAAGTGTAATAATTACACATTCCTAAAACTGCCGTTTTCATTGTGGACATTTATTTTGGGACGGAGGGAGTATGATATTGCAGTAAGCATAAACCAAACCAAAACCAAACCAAACCAAACAGATCTTACCTCTGTCCCAAGAGATAGAGAGGTGGTTTTCAAGAAGATCCCCTACTTGCATAAAAGAAAAATAAACATATCTATAGAACACAATAATAGGCCGCAGGTAAGCAACAAAGTTCTGAAAGAATGCAAAGAGCCTAACAAGATAACAAAAAGAACACTGGGGACACCAAGGAAACTCCCTATCTCTTAACACAAGAAACCACCATCCTATGTAAAGATCCCCCC